TATTGGGTGGTTGATAAATCTTTGTTGAATGAATAAAAAATTTTTGTGAGATTAAAAAGGATGTCCTTATGTTTCATGTAAATTGTGTACTTTCATTTGTCACATCATTAGGGAAGGAGCATAACTTGCTAATATTCTCTTTGTCAAAGGGTGTGATGTTAACTTGGCCCTCTTCAGTTTGGATTGCAATCCAGTTTTCATGCTCATTTTTAATTTTTCCCTAGCTAATTATTCTGCCATTCAAGCAAGCTGTCTTGTATATTAGTTCTTTGATTAAAGTTGTAGAATGTTAAAAGCTAGGTTTCCCATGAGCATTGCAATTTAAATTGAATTAGATGTAAGATTTTCCTTTTAATTAAAGTCTTTTATGAAAGAATCTATGCATACATTTTAAAGATGACTATCTTTTAAAATATACAATATTAGGGAAAGGCAAAAATAAACACTAGGATATGGTTAATTTTATTTCTTATGTACGAATCTACAAATGATCAATTGCTGAAGAGCATAGTGCTGTGTCCTACTTTGCTATCGGGCTCTCCAGCAGACCTCTCTTAAATAACCTTGGACTGCTCATCTCAAACTCAAAGATCACCCAGAGTCAGAAGGTGCTGGCTTCAGAGGTCATGGGGATTCAGCTGTGTTCTGTCATAGGTTGGCTTCCCTAGCCAGGGAACCTTAATTATTCTTTATGTTTATTAGAGCAAAAGCTCCATTTTGTGCTTTGAATATTCTTGTTGTTAATAACTTTTTGACTTTTTTTTATTGCCTTCTGGGCAAGAAGAAAAAGAAACAATTTCTAGCTTTAAAAAGTTCCTGGTTTAAATGAAGACCTCGTTGTTGTATTCATTTTTCATTTAGGATGTTTTCTGTCAGTCTCCTGCAAAGCCTTGGACAGTGTGTTTTGCTTATCTATGTGAGAAACCCTCTCCTCTCCTAAGGACTTTTGATGCAACAGTTACATGAGCTTCTTAATTTTAGTCATTGAGATTGAAAATCGTGTTTCCTCTCAATAATCCTATGAAGATAGCAATTTATGTTATCAACCAATTACTGAAATAATTCAAATTTTAATTTACATTTATCAGGACAGAAATTAAAACACATGTAAGCAATGGTCAATGCTTTACAACAGCTTGACTAGACTCTCCTGATACTCTTTTTTTTTTTTTTAAGAGTAGGAAAAATTTATTGAGGAAAATAAAGCTTCTGTCTAAGAGAGCCAGAAGAGGGACCAGAAAGTGGGTTGCACGCTCACCCCACTTCTCCAAGATACTTTATACAGCAAAGCCATGTGGTTAGGTGGGTACAAAGTAGTACAAAAATGTAAGACCCAATGGAAAATTACAAGGCGGGGCAAAACCATGACCAACCAATAAGATCATAAGTACAGTCACCCAGGTAATAGTGATTAAATGGGGATCAAATGTAGCAAGCGTACAAGGATTTTCAGTAAGGGTGGGGCTCAGGGATATTTCCTGGAAAGGCTGAGCTAAGACCTTAGCCCCCCACCCACGTGATTGATACATATTTAGAATATCAATTACTGGTATTTATCCCTAGGGGAAGCACAAGGGTATAGTAGTTTCTCTCCTTTTATAATTCTGGCCACAGTGAATGTATCTTTATTGTCTGCCATGTTGGCTCCTTGCTGTGTTGGCTCCTTGAGTGAGACCCTGTCTAACTGCCTATAAGATATCTAATTAACTTATTTATCTGCAATATTCCACCCTTAACTCCTGTGAAGGGGCAAAAGGCAAAGATAGCTCTGGCTACTTCCAGCTGAAGAGGGTCCACAGGTATGATCAGCAGTTAGAGTTCTCTACAGAAAATCTTATCTAAAGGCCTTCAGTAGGTTCCTGGCATTGTCATCTTGGTAGCTAAATAGCTTTCAAGTCTGGAGGGGAAAAAGCCAAAGAAACAGTTAAGGATGCCTGGGCTAAATTATCAGGTCAGCAGGACTGCTATGAAAATAGCCCACAAAGAGGATAAGGAGAAGGTCCAGGGGACTTCAGAATCCAACATAGAAGTAGTATAGTTTAGCAGTTATGAGGTATTTACAGGTTCAGTCTGCAAGTACAAGAAGTCTAGCATATTTGTCACTGGTTCCATTTGTATGACCACTTGGAATTTGGCAGCCTCTAGTCAAGAATAAACAAAACTTCCAAGAAATTAGAGTGTGAATAATTTAAGCATGAACATACTAGAATGAAAGGGCAGGTTAGGGAGAAAGTCACACTTAGAAATTGAAATGCACCATCTGCTCCTGGTAGAGCTGGAAACTGACGGAAGGGGTCAGTGACTGGAGCCCCTTTTTATATCTAGCTTTATTACTATGGCATTATTTTATACCTCTTTTGGTTATTATTTTCTCTTGGGTGTGTAAGACCAAGTTAAAGTGAGACCTGTGTCAGACAACATGAACCTCTTGCTATCTATCAAGGTCAGTTAAGTCTCTTCAGGAATTATTTTGGAACCATGTATAGAACCTCTCAGCTCCTCTGTGTCAGCTGTCAGGATGGGTCATGGCCTTGCTTGACCATGTTGCTTTCAGTGAAAGCATGTGAGACTTTCCCCTTGTGGTGACCTGCCTTTGTCACATGGTATATTTGTCCTCTTGTGCCCAGCAGTCTCCCTTCTCAGGAGACTGAATGTCTTATCAAAGATGTTGGATCCTATAGGGAAGGTTCCTTGTGTCCTGGATCTTGTAGACTTGGAGGGACCAGGGCCAAAATATTGGCTGGCTTCATAGCCCAAGTTACCTTTCTAGTTTTGATCTCCAAATTTTAGTTGTTGAACACCCAGAAGAGAAGATCAGTGACATCAGCAGTGCAGTAGGAGCAGTGAGCTTACCTATTATACTTTTGTCTGGACATTAAGCACTTTGAAATATAAAGCATAGTTAGGGGCGATTATTTCTTATCAACCATAGTTGTTCTAGTAGTTGAATCCCTATGGAATATTAACAGACAACAGTTATATATTATAGAGAATCTTAAGATCAAGAGCCACACATAGTATTTTAGCATGACAGTTATGATGACATTTTCTTTGTAACACATAAACATTCATCAGTATGAAATAGTCTTTTAGTCAAACACTTCCATCTCATCACAAGACATTAAATGACATAAAGAAAGCCCTTATTTGTTATTTTTTTAGTAGGATACAATCTAAAGAGAACACACATATTGGCCTATAAATGTACCTTAGGAGTTCATAATGTCTAACCTTTAATTTTAGTGTGTGACATTGTTTCAACTGGTGACTGAGCATCCCTAAGTGTGGTGCACATATAACATACAACACATAAGTTTTTAAGAAAACTATTATTTGACTGGTTATCTTATGCTAGCTTGACATGTATCTCTTATCACAAGTAGCTGTACTGCAAAAGAAAGGCAGACACCCGAGTGAAAAACATCATTACCTTAAATATCCTAGAAGACTTGTATACCCAGAAGGCATAACTATATACACCATGAAATAACATTGAGTATCAGTTACATGAAACCCTTTGTCCTTTAATTTTATTTGTACCAAGAGCGTTTTAAATAAAACCTTATTGTTTTCCCACAGAAAACTTAGCCTTTTGACCATGACCAATGTATACATGTCACAATAAGGTTTTGCAATGTATTTTCCACAAGGTTATGGAAATTATTGGGGACCCCTCTGTGAACAAAGGTTGGAATAAAATTTTTTCTAGGTAGCCACTCCTTCATTTATGAAGTTATGAAGGGGAGTCCTGTCTAGTAGTTTTCCTAAACCCAAGAATCTTTTTTTTTATCTTAACAAACTTTTAGATGACCTATGAAAGCCAGATCATAATACTTTTGACCAATGAAAGATCCCTGAGTTATTTTATATGTACAACAATATGTACTGTATTTGTAACATCAATTGATATTATTTGGATCATCTGGCAACCTAGGAGAAGCATGTCTTTCTATAAGGTGACTTGAGTTACAGGCAAACATCTTAAAAAATCCAAAATTCCACAAGTAAAAAAAACTCAAACAAAAGAGCTGTACATGTTGTAACAAATTGAGGAAACACATGCACACACACACACACACACACACACACACATAAATAAGACAACTTGTTTATAAATCAGAGTGCACTCAGATGTATTTGGCCAAGTTGAATTATAATAACTTTTATAATTTTTAGGTTTATAATTATAAAAAAGACTAGTCAGAGCTTTGTAGATCAATTAACAGAGATCTCTTATAATAAGAATCAAAAGGAATAAAAATCTTCCATGCCTGTGAAAGCAAAAACAGTTTTAAGATGGGCCATAAGCTAACAGTCTATCTAACTGGAATACCAGCTATACAGGTTTCTCATGGTTGCTGATAGCCACATATGACTGTTCTCTCTAAAGGTACATACTACTCCAAGTAATTTAAATTATCTCCAGTGGGGGTCCACTCAGGTCAGCTTTGCATGTAGAAGAGACCAGGTGACACTGTTTGGAGCTAAGTGTGAATTCCATTCAGTGAGGGAAGAAGACCTGTCAAGGCTCCACTCTACTGTGCTGCAGACGTATACCTATGACCATTTTTTCCATTTTGAAAAAAACAAAGGGAAAGAAGGCATCTCTATCACTCTTGTCTAAATCAAATTATTAAGTTATCTGTATCTTCCTTCACATCTCACAGTCATGAATTTTTAGCTTTTTCTCATAGGATTTATTTCCTAATCCTTATTCTGAAGCATCATTTAATTTAAAACTTCTTCTAATTTGAGGACACTGGAATAGAAGCTCTTATGCCAATCAAATGGTACATATCTTTAATACAGTAGGAATATTTTTCACAATTCTACCATTTTACTGATCCATGTCAAGCTGACTGGAAGGACTCACTGAAATCTTAGTAGAACTATTCATGACCATGTCCATGTGAACTGAAACATAACCATTCCCTTTCTCTCCTTTCTTCCATTTCTCCTCCTTCTATTTTTCTTTCCCCTTCTGCTCCTTCCATAATCAGGGTCTCCGAGGTCCTGAGGGAGCACCAGGAGAGAGGGGCTTACCTGGAGAAGGAGTACCAGGACCAAAGGTAACAATAGCTTCTCAACTAGGAAAATGTGCTTTGTCTTGCATGGCCATAAATTAAAATGCCAATTATTATATGTCAAGTATTGTCCTGACCACTTGCATCCTATTAAGTGAACCAATATATAAATTTCCCCTTATGGTGAAATTTGAATTATAAAATAAGAATTCAACAGATTTCCATTTCATGTATCTCATATGAAATTACATAGAAAAAAGCTCTTAACATAGTTTGTAGTCCTTAAAGGAGGAATTGTAAATAGAATCTTTATACCCAGAAGTTATTGGGCATATCTATGGCAACATTTTGCTCACATTTTTTTTTGAAACACAGATAAGAAAAAGAGTCTATTACAACAATTTATAATAGTGTTGCCATAAATATAATATGGAAAGTAATTTTGCCACAACAACAAAGTGTTAAGAAAGACCTCTGAGCTGACAATTGAAGATTAACACTGTTTCATTGCTTCCCATGCATAACTTTGGAAACTCAAGTCCCTCTATTGCAGGCAATGGCCAGCTTTTTCTGGGAAAGGGCTAGATAGCAAATATTTGACATGTTCTTTTTTTTTTTTTGTATTGGGGATCAAACTCAGGACCTTCTGCTTGTGAAGCAGGCAGTGGCACCACTGAGCTAAATCCCCAGACAATTTGAGGTATTCCAAACTGTCTATTGCAAGGACTCAACTGGTATAGCTTGAAAGCAGCCTCAAACAGGGTATAAGTGAATGAATGTGGCTCCTCCAATAAAACTGTGTTTATGATAAACAGGCTGTAGTTTCCTATCCCCTGGTCTAGGCAGTTTTACCAAAATCGATAGCATATTTGGCAAGGGGCACATAGGAAATGGTTTTCCAAAATACACTGGGTAAATATCAACAAAATTTTGGAGTAAGTAAAGTTATATTTTGGAATCCTTTATTTTTTTAAAAGTCATTTTCACAGACAAACATGTGCATGCACAGATAAACACTTCCCAGAGAATCACAGGCTGCTTTCTAAGTGGCTAAGATCTTCCATATCAGTCATTCTGTTAGGTCACTAAAATCTCACCTTCCCAGTATGACCTCGTGCTCCAGAACTGCATTTCATTTTGACTCTTCCACTCTGGTCAAATCCACTCACCTATGAGAAACTATAACCTTAATAGGGGGAGGACGATTAGCGGAAACTAAAGATTTGTACTAGCTTCGTTTGAATTTTAAAAGAGGTCTTTGTTAACACATTAAAATGTATCACAATAATGGAAAAATATGTTGAATAAAGGTGACATTACTAATGCCCTTGGACTAACCAAAATACTGTTTTCAGAAAATGGAGGTCAGCAATTTTGCAGTACAGTTCAGAAAGTTTTATAATGTGTAGTTTCTTGAACTTTTTTTGGCCCATAGAAAATTCCTTTTTATGTTTAATTCAAACAATCTAGATCAGCATTGCTAAAAAGTTCAAGTCCTACATCTCCTCTAAGATTCAAGACAGACTCTTGGCTATGAGACCCTGTAAAAATCATATAGCCAGGACTACTTCTCTTATAATCTGTGTGTGTGGAATGTTTTGAAGATAAAGAAATAAAAGACAAATAAAAATGTATTAAGAGGTATATCCAAGGCATATTCTTAGTGATATGTTTAATATGCTTTTATACCAGACAAAATATGATAAAATGATATGCTTTGGTATATAATAACCCAAGGGCATTGGTTTTGATCTCATCAAAGCAGAAGCATATTATATTCAGTGTGGGTTTAGGATCAAGTACACTGTATGTGACTAAAATGTGTGATGATCAGAAAACTCCATTGGTCAGATACTTCATTCCCCAACCAGTTAGACCAGTAGGAGTTTCTATATGTGACTAATTTGCAATAATGTGAGAAATGAGTAAAATTATAGATATGAAGACATATGGCTATATTTTCTTTCCTTAGGTTTCTTGAAAATTTTCTTTGAATTTACTCTATGTTGTAATAAATTCATTAGATAGATGCCGTTTCTGACTAATATGTTTTTTTTAATAGAGAGACACAAAATGCTAGAACTTCATAAATATTAAGAACAGTCAGGTCATGAACACAGGTTATAAGATTAAAGAAATAGATACAGTGGACCCCTGACTTATGAACTAAATTTATTCCCGAGGGCTTGTTGTAATACAAGTTGGTCAACTGAAGGCTCAGGCTTCTTTACACAGCCTTCAAAGTCTCTCTCCTATAATCAGGCAGATCTCAGTGCCATTAGAGAGACACTGGCCCAGGATTTCTCAATTAACCCTACACAGGAAAGGATGTTGTAATGTTCCTTTCAGATTTCTTTAAGGGTTAAATCTGTATCTGAGACTATCTGAAGGCACAAGCAGCTTCCATTTGGGTTGTAACTCAAGACTTTGCTTAGAAGTTAAAAATAAAATTATGATTGTAACCCAAGTTGTTCATATGTCAGGCTGGTCATAACTTGAGGGTCAACTGTATAAGAAGATTTTTGCATGAATCCTTCTAAACCTAAATTTTCGTTTTTCTTCTTTTTTTTTGGTACTGGGGATGGAACTCCGGTCCTTGTGCTTGCAAGGCAGGTGGCAGAACCTCTGAGCTAAATCCCCGGCCCCTAAACCTAAATTTTCAATGAACGTTTATAACTTTAAATACAAAACATTTAGAAAATAATTCAGTTCTAGCAAATATCAGTTCATATACAATCAAATTTTATATTTTGGATCCAATTTTTGCAGTATTAAGAAAAAGGAGACTTGATCCAGTTATTTGCACTGCATGATTAATATATTAGATGGCTAATTTCAGATATTTTTGTTGAAATTGCAAATTGTTATTTTCCAATTTCAGCAATGCTGTGAATGTGTTTTCCTTAGACAGACTTCTTCCTATTTAAATGTTATGACTACTTTTTTTTTTCAATTGCAAACATTAGAGTAAAAATTACTCATTTGTAGTGAGCAATGAATTAGAATGCTTTATTTAAAAATACATTTGAAACACAATTCACACACAATAATCATCGCATAAGCTCTTTATAAATCCTTATTTTTATTAGTGTACTGATATCCCTCCTATATACTTTCAGGGTGAGAAAGGTTCTGAAGGACCAATTGGTCCTCAAGGACTGCAAGGCCTATCAATCAAAGGGGACAAGGTACTGTACATAAAGTTTGTAATAGAAACTGTTTTAGTCACTTTTCTATTGCTGGCACAAAATACCTGAGGAGAAGTTTATATTTTTGCTCATGGTTTCAGAAGTTGCAGTCTATGGTCAGCAGGTTCCAACACAGAAATGGCGTGCTGGAAGGGCCTGGTGAAGAAAAAAGCTGTTCACATGACAGCCAGGAAGCAGAGAGAAAAGGGAGGAGCCGAGAATTAGAATACATCCTTCCAGGTCATGCTTCTAGTGACTCAATTTTTCTAACCAAGTCCTATACCTAAAAACACTTTCAGCCAAGAACTTGTCAGTAGATGAATGCACTAATGAGGGTAACATCCCCATAATTTAATCAGCTTCTAAACACATGAGGCTTTAAAAGGACATTTTAGACCTAAACCATAACATTCCACCCATGGTCCCCAAAAGCTCAGGTCTGTCTCATTATGCAAAATGCATTTAGTTCATCTTTAAGAATTGTCAAACGTAACAGTTGCAGTATTGCTGAAAAGTCCACGTCCAAAGTCTGTTCTGAGACTGAAGGCAGGCTCTTAGCTGTGGGCCCCTGTAAAAGTAAAAATGAAAGTTATGTACATCCAACATAAAATGATGCGTGGTAAATATTCCCCTTCTCAAACGTAGAAATATGGGTTTAAAAAAGAGTGGAACTACAGCATGAGCGAATCTTACAAGCCAAACATTAAATCTTGTAGCTCCATGTCCAGAACACAGGACAGGTTGTGGCAAGATGTAAACTTGAAAGGGTCTGAAAGACCCTATTCCTCCAGCATTGTTGGTTGTAGTCCAAGTGGCCTCTCTGTTGAGCTGGCTCTGCTCACTGCCTTTGGCTTCCCTCAGCAGACGATTCATATTCCTGACATCTCCAACTTCCTAGGTCTTCACTGCACATATGGCTTCATTCTCACACCTTCATGTATCATTGTCTCAAGGGCTCACTGCCTGGCCTCCAAGGCTTTCCTTTAAAACCTGAGTGGAAGCCTTCATGATCCTGTGACAATCTTGCATTCTGCATGCCTATAAACCAGCGCCACGTGGATGCCGAGGTCTTTGTCAGCTCAAGCAATATCTCCAAACCTCCATGGTCCATGGCAACAGCAGCCTCTGACTGCCTGCATGGCTGAGCTTGGGTATACACTTTGCTCTATGGCTGTGAATGAGCTGGAGACCCTAGGGCTCTCTTCTCAAATGAAATGTTTACACTTTTGCACCTTTGAGGCTGCCATGGGGAAGGGCTTGCTGCTTTCTGAGATACTCTCAAGGCATCTTTCTTCTTGAACCTGTACAAAGTTCTTGGCCTCTTTTGAATACTAATCTTTTCAGCAACAATGTTCTCCTTTGCCCCAGCTTTGCAGGTGCTTTCTTTCTGGCAAAACTTCAAACTTTTCAAATTGTTCATCTCTGCGATTTACTCCTGATTCTCACCGTTGATCTGGCTAAAAGCAGCCAGAAGTATCCATGTCACACCCTGGGTGTTTGGTTGTCTTTGAAATTTTTTTTGTCAGATTTATTAGTCGGCCGCCTCAAGATCTTAGAGGAAAATGAAGAAAAAATTTTGCCAGAGTGTAACAAACATGGCCTGTAATCTAACTTCCAATGGAGTTTTTGTTCCCAACTGAAACCTCTTTAATCTGTCATTACTGTCCACACGGCTAACAGCAGTCCATGCTCTGACCATTATGACACATGAAGCACTGCTCACAACATTCTATGGCTTCTCTAACCCACATCACAATCTTTCCCAAACCCCTTCTGCAAACAAGTTCCAGAAGCTTCTGAACTACATGATCAGGTGTATACAGCAGGGGCCCCAGTCTCTGTACCAGTTTTCTCATTACTGGGTCAAAATACCTGATACCTGCAATTTAAAAGGGGAGAGGTTTATTTGGGCTTATGGTTTCAGAAGTTGCAGTCCATGATTAGCCGGCTCCAAAGCAGAAATGGCATGGCGGAATGGCCTCACGCAGTGGAGCTGCTCATATCCTGACACCAGGAAGCAGAGAAAGAAGGAAGGAGCCGGGGTCACACCCACCAGTGACCCGTACTTTCCAACCAGGTCCCAACTCCTCAAAGCAATTCAGCCATGATCTTTTCAATGGATGAATCCACTGAAATATAGTATAATGCACCATTATTTAATCACCTTCCAATTGCATATGATTTGGAGGACATTTAAGATTTAAACTATAACATAAACAATGGCAATAAAAGTATTTTGTCTTTACATATGTATTGAACTATATAAATATGAAATCACTTTACACAGGTATCCAGGTAGTTATAAATCTAGTATATGGAAGTTATATTACCATGTGGTATGAATTATAATCTAGGAATTCCCATTATTTATATTTAGAGTAATGCTTTCTTTTTTTGCTTGTTTTTACCGAGGATCAAACTTAGGCCCTTGTGTTTGTGAGGCAGGCGGCAGGACCACTGAGCCAAATCCCTGGCCCAGAGTAATGCTTTCTTGTTTGGATTCTAACTTTCAATGACTTTTATGATCAGCAAACATTTTTGAAGGCAGACATTTGTAAAAGACACTTTTTCTTAGGGCTGGGGATTTAGCTCAGTGTTTCCACCGCCTGCCTCGCAAATGCAAGGTCCTAAGTTTGATCCCTGGTACAAAAAAAAAAAAAAAAAAAAAAACCCCAAAACAAACAAACAAACAAACAAAAAACAAGAAAAGACAACACACTTTCTTAGTACAGAAAATCATTGTTAAAGGCATTGACTTGACATCATCACAGGATAGTATTCTGTCTTCAAATCCTCATTCAAAAATGTTACTTTAAAATTGGGGTAAATAAGGGAGCTCACTTAAGAAAACTACTGTTGATGTCCTCAGCAAGGCCTAACAGGAGTTCACCTATACTTGGTCAAAGGTTTATTGACTGTGCGATGGAGACTGTGCACTTTGGGGAACTGACAGCAGCTCAGGATGAGGATAAGTACTAAGAATTTTCATAGGATTTGGGCTTGTGTTAGGAATTTTGGAGAAGTAGTGAAGAAAGTGCAGGTTGGGTCTGAATTGAATGCCATCAGGAAGTGGGAATGATTTTAAGGTGGACTAGGCACTGTGAAAATGGACTCAGGCCAACTTGCAATTGGTAAAGAAGAAGTAGCAACTCTTTTCAACCAGTGTAAGGGGCCACTAGGGTGCTTTCTGGGGAGTTGGACAGTGTTTTGTCTGTGCTCAGATGTGATTACAGAGTGGTCTTGCTTCTCTCTTGGTCCATCACTTTGATGTCGACAGCCTGTGAACTTGTTTGTGTTCAGCATCACATCCTCACTGCCAGGGTCAGGTCAGCTCCTGGGTGTCAGATGTCGCTTTATTCTTTCTTACTACTGACTTGCTTTATTTAAAATATCTGCAGATTATAGTTGTCCCCCGAAATAAGACCTCATTGGAAAATAATTAGCCTTAAAAATTAGAGAGCAAAAATGCCAGCTCCAGTCAGTTTACCCTTGCCTTGTCTGCCTTACAGTCAGTGATAGAGCAAGGCTGTCTGTATTCAAATAGTAGAGATAATGATGGATAGTGAGTGATATAAATTTTAGATGTAATATAAGTTTCAGTTCAAATGGATCAGTTCTGATTGCAATTGTAGCTATGAAATACTCCAAAAATATGTTAAGATTATCTTTCTTCCTTTAAAGCAGTGAGAACTGAATACAACAGAATTGTTATTCTATGAGTTCAGTAAATTAACTTTTCAAAAGGTTGTTGTGACATGGCATTTGTGTTTTTACATCTGGAGCTGATGCAAAGGAAACACATTACGTTATCATATAATAGTAAAGCTTTTTAGGCATTATCTATGTCTGCTTTCACTCCACCAAAACAGCATTGATCAGTTACATAAGAGATTTTATTTTGACCCTTAAGCCAAAAATCAACAGTTTAAGAAAATATTTGTGAATCTTGATGTAGTCTAGTGATAGATGTCACTGAAAGAAGCATGCTTACTCCTGTTTTTCAGTTTAGTGGTCAATTCTTTGTAGTCAACTTGCTTGACCTTTCAGGAGCATGTTTTGAATCCTCATCTTCTTAAAACCTTCTCTTTCCTTCTTCAATGCTCTATCTGGCTGCTCCTTCTCATTCTCCACCCTTGTTCTTCCCTAGTTTCTCTGACCTGTAGTGATTGATGGCTGTAAAGCATTCAGCCCTCAGATTTCTACTTTTCTATCTCTTGGTGTAGTCACCCAGTTATGACATTAAATACTGTCTTTATGCCACAGGATCCCAATTTATATCTGCAGCATGGACCTCTTTGACTCCCTCAATAGGCTCACTTACTATTTTAAGCATCTCAGACTTAACATATCCAAAACAGGTCTGCTGGTTTCACCATCCTTACCCCTCAGACTTTTCCTTCTCAGTGAATGACAAGAACCTCAGAGACATCCTGGAGTCTGCTTTATCTGCAGCATATTCTGTTGGTTCCTCCTTCCAAATGTACCCAGGACGCGGGTACTTTTCACCTGCTGTGCTGCTGTTACCCAGGTCCATACCCCCATATCTCTTATGCAGACCTTATTCCAGCCGCTCCTCAGTAAGCTTCTGCACTGAGCCTTCAGGACTGAGTCAGTGACTCACACCTCTGTGTAAAGCCTGCACCAGTCCTCACCTCACTCGTGGGATGTTCAAGTCCTTATTGTCTCACAGGCCCTGCTGATCTTTCTGCCTGACGCAGTACTGCATTTCTCTCCCTTCATCATCTACCACTCTCCCTCACGGTCTCCAGCTTCACCCACGCTGTCGTCTTGCTGTTTCTGAAATGTGCCAGGCATTATGTGTGCACTGGCAGTTTGCTTTGCCTGAAATACTTTCTCCAGGCTTCTCCTGGCTCCTTTGAGCCACCCTATCCAAAATTGTCACTACCTCTGCCTTCCCTAATTTTCCTACTTAGCACGTATCATTATTCAATATCCTATTTATTTTATCTATTGGTCTTTCATTCTACGTTCTGTTTCCCTTAATAAAATGTGAACTTTATCGAGGACATTTTGGACAGCTTTAGTCACTGTTTTTTCTCAATGTTTGGAACAGTTCCTGGCACAAAATGGGAACTTAACAAATATTTATAGAATGAATGAGTGATATTGTCCTCACTGACAATTCTCACTTGATTTTCTCAGTCTATTTCATGGAAGGAGATGGAGGAATTCTTCAATTCTGTTGCCTTCTCTTAGATAATTTCTTAATTTTCAAAATATAAGATTTGGAGAGAAACATTATTTAGAAAATATTAAAATAGTTTTCCTTATTTCCTTTCAAATTCTAGTTTTCTTTATTCTGTTAATTCTCTACTTTAAAATTTCTGTTATAATCCCAACAGGAAGTGTTTATAACAACTGATAAAGAATTTTGAGTTGTGAGAAAATGATTGCTAAATATAAACTGATGCAAATACTAATCAATTTGTACTATTTAGTGAAAATATTACTATTTTGGCAAGTTTGAACTATAAATTGCTCAAAAGGAATGATTTTGATTTTATGATTTTCCATGTTGGCAGTTTTGTAGTGTTAAGATAAATTTAAATCTAGTCTAGTTCTAGATTAGCAAAGCATGAAAAAAGGTTTTATTTATTGTTCTATTTTGATATTTTCTCTACAGGGGGATCTGGGACCTGTGGGACCCCAAGGGCCAATAGGCATTCCAGGCATTGGTAGTCAAGGGGAACAGGTAATTTATGCTTTCTTCCTTTCCTTTGATATAGAACATCTTGATGTTCATTGAAGGCCAGCACTGCAAACATTTATGAATATATTGCAATGAAGTCTAATTGCAATGGACTATCAGGCCAGAAGTGAAAGGGAAGATGTATAAGAAAGTTTTATGAGATCTTATTTTTAGAATTTTTAAAGACTTAAATGGTTTGTTTCTTGGTGCTGTAACTATTAATATTAAAACCTAATTAAGAAGGTAAGAGTTTGGAGGTAATATTAATATTTTTGGTTCCTCTTGGAAGAGTAATAGTTCATTTACCTGTTGGATTGTGTGTTTTTTCTCTTGAAGCTTTGTGAATGATAAAAATCTTACTCTTTCAATGCCAGTAGAATAGTGTTTCCTAACTCAGCCACATACCAATGTAAAAATAGTCTTAAACATAAAAAAAGAACCAGAATCAGAGGCAAACAGTTATATAAGGGACATTCTCCTAAATAGAAGCGAATTATAGATAGGGTTTATAAATGACACCTAGCCTCTCTTGGTCAAAATAAAAGAAAGATCTCTCAGGATGTTTCTAAATTCATGACTGAAACTGCTTCCAAGGCCTTCTAGTAACTTTTGGAAAAGCTGGAAAAATCTAAATCTAAATGTGTTAAATTGAAATAAAGTAAAGATAGTATAATAGCACTGTCTACTATTGTTATTTATCATATACTTTTATCTACATTTAGTGAAGGCCAAAAAAAAAATACAGATTTATTCTTCTGGTTAGAAAATGGCAAGTCAGTTTGATTAAAATTTATAGTTGTTTTGAAATTAGGTTGCCTAGAAAATGAATAGCTACTTTGTGTAGGATAATGAGAAAAGGAATTTAGAAAATGGTTTAATTCCAAATCTCATTGTTGACATTCAACTTTGAGTTTATTTCCAACCATCTGCTAATTTATTATTATTATTAGTAGTAGTACATATTTTAGTTAGCCCGAGCAGTAAGAGAGTTGGATATTATTCCTTTTTCCATTTCCTTGCCGTTGGCAAAATTCTTAGAAAATTGTTAGGAGGATTAAAGTGCAGAAGAAGCCAATATAAATCTGAAAGTAAATATTTAGGTAATAATTAAGAACTGGATATTTTGACTATGCAAGGACACTGGTTTGACCACTGCTCGCATTCTCAAGCTCTTTAGTGTGTATGCTCTGTTTAGCAGGGCTTCCATTCTGGTCCTGGAAGCACTGGACAGTGCTGCATTCTGGGTCTTTCATTGCCTGGTGCTGAGTCACCACTGTGGGGCTGAAAATGGGGTTCAAAGGGAGAGAATCTGCTCCCGTTCTGGACCTTCCACCTGCAGCTTCCTGTTGCCTGTAACGCTGGTTTTTAATTGAAGCTGTTGTTCTGTGGCTTAAAAACAGAACAATACAAAACAAAACAAAAAACAGACCAAATAAGCAACAAAACAAAACAAAACCCAAACCCAAACCAAAACAAATAAAAAAAAACCCTACTTGAATTTTGACTTTCTTCATTTTCTTACCCCCTTTTCTTTTTTAACAAGAGAAAGAAAAAATTGAATCAAAGGTGGCCTAGAGAGCTGGCTCCTATTGGACAGGAGAATGACTGGAGTGTATTCTTTGTAAATTGCCCTGCCCAAGGAAAGGATTTATTTATTCTTTTAAGACAAATGATATAAAATCTACTTAACCTCTGTTTATATTTTGTTTTATTCTCATTCTTAATTTAAAATGTTTATCCATTTAATGCTTGTGATTATTATTTCTATCTCTCTTATGGAAATAAAGTTTCCCTCTCATGTGCTTAGGAGGGAACTTCTGTTTCCAGCAATAAGTTTACAGTATCTTTCTAGTGGACTGCAGATTTCCATTAAATATTTGGAAGCTGGATCATCTCAGATCACCTCCTGTAAAGTGGACTATAAATGTCCACATACACACATACGTATGTGCACATCCTGTGAATTTTTTTCCCTTGTCACATTGTATGCTACCTACAGATTATTGTGAGAGTCAGAAAGTGTTCCTTCTTGTTATGGTTTGATAGTTATAGTGTAGCAACCTTAACCTTCCTAAATTGTTTGGTCTGTTCACCTTCATTAACCAGAGAAAAGAATAATAATATTTGTATCTTAAAACTGAATAAGCAATTGTACCATCTAACTGGAAAAAAGGATGATATTTGTTACATTGTAATACATTATAGGTATAAAAATAACTATCTGTAACCATGTTTGCACAAATATAATTTGTGGGATGTAAGCAAAACAAAATTTTATTTTTTTCTCTTTTTATCCTTTAACAATTCATTTCAGTGGAGACATTTTTTTTTTTTTGCCTGCCATGGAAATTTCAAGCAGGCTATAGATTTTTTTGGATCATAATAAGTAACAAAAACTTGATGAGATGATGTAAATTGCAAATCTTAGATTTATGTGAAAGAAAGTCTGTAGTCCATCTATCAGTCTTCCCTTTAATCTTCATTATCCGGGTACAAGCTTCAGGGGGAGTGTATTTCACATCCCTCCCACCCCCAGCTGAATCTCAGAGGGGCTGGTGAGCAGGACATGGAGGCTCTTCCTTGGTGCCAGGGCTTGGCAGGTGTGCGAAGCCCACCTCTTGTTCGTGGCATTCATTTCCTGACTCCCCAGACTGCCCCTTCTGGCTTGTGGATGAAGGACTCCTCCTCCAACAGCTTTTCTCTGTCAGCCTCTGTTTTTCTTGGGACTTACTTTCTCTCTTTTGGGGCTATTACACATCCAGGTATCTGGAGCAAGATTCAAAATAGCTCCAGGCCAACTTTTTCTCATATCTAGCATGCCATTTGTCTACAGGAACATGTCATGTGGCTTTTGTCCTGATAGATGCTGGATGCAGGTTGATTCTGCCAATTTCTCTTGGCCACCACAAGCCAGTTTAACTTTCTCAAACCTGAGTCAGACCGGTATATTCCCAGAACGGAAACCAAAGGATGCAAATGGGCTCACTGAAGTCCTTCTTCTGGACTGGGGTGAAAAGGAATTCAACCCTTTCCCGTTTTCTACCAAAAAAACGCTTTTATAATCTGGATTACTTTCTCCAGAGATGAGTATCCCAACTCCTGTCTCCTGTCTTCTCCCTTTCATAACCACGATGTGAGGGAGGGAGTCAAGTGTTCGCACATTGACCATTGTCTGCTGGCTGAGGCATCTTAGAGCCCAAACTTTCAGTATAATAACTTGACACAGATCAATTGATCTAAGTGGGAAGTGGGAGATATAGTCTTTCCTGTAGGCACCTGCGTGTGCCAGCTAAAAGTTTCTTACGATAGGAGAAGGGGAAAAGGCATACTAGGGTTGGACTAGAAGCTTCTGCCATTCCACTCAACAGAAGTTTATGTAGTGTGAATAACTTATTATGGGGTATGAACTAAACTTTCACTTTAGAGGACATGAAACCATTGTTAACCAAATATTTTATCAATTTAACTCATAACGTTTTAAAAAATCTTGTTTTAAAGGGAATCCAAGGTCCTATTGGTCCACCTGGTCCACAAGGGCCTCCAGGACAAGGTTTGCCTGGTTCCAAGGTAACTGTCTAAATGAGATCACAGTTTGTTTACAGTATCATTGCTGTTTCCTTGTTGATGTTAGTGTATCTGGAAGAGAACAGGTAGAATTAACTTAAAAATCAAAGATCTCTGCTTTATACCAAATACAACTGTTATTTCTAGCAATTTAGAAAATGCACTGTTTTATGCTTTAAGATTTTATTTGCATAATATTTTTTTAGTTTCTTTATTATTTTTGTTTCTGAGACCCTATTCTAGCAATGAGAGCAACTATTAGAGGCTGTCAATGATTCCCTGGCTCTATGGGTTGGCTAATTTGCATTCTCACCAATATCCCCATGGATCCTTAGTGGGTACTTAATAGAACCTTAGTTAAAGAGAGGCACTTAGAAATGACCTAAAATAATTTTTCCCATGAACTTTGGGTTCAAATTATCCTCTAAATACAACTATTAGTTATGTTTTTTTAAGGAAAGATCTGATATTTGTTATTACAGTAGCTACCTTTAATCTAGCTTAAAAGAATCACTAACCATTGTTAAATAAGTGAAATGCTTCTTATACCTGAGATCACCTGCTTAGTTTTTTCCCAAATGAGAAGCAGCTCAGTAGCATATGATTGAGCCCTGAGGTTTTTGTTGAGGCCCATTGTTGAAAGCACAGGTTGTTCTTTCTTGTTATAATATTGTCCTTGATAAATCATCACCCTTGGCTTCTCTTGTGCCCATTTTAGTCATTCTATAATATAACTGCTTAACTTTTGTAGGTGTCTCCGCTCAAATTCTCTTTTCTTTTTAGGGAGAAGTGGGCCAGATGGGACCTACAGGCCCTAGAGGACCAGTAGGAATTGGAGTGCAGGGTCCAAAGGTGAGTCAATTAGGGAATTTAAGAATATTATACAAGATTTCAATATAATACACATTATGCACGTGTCATCCAGTTGTATGTAACCTGTTTGTCTTGACTTTTAAAACGTGACTACTAAAAAAAGTTATAATTGCATGCATATCTTGTGTAATATTACTTTGTGATACTGCTGCCCTAAGACATATCCTTCTTTGGGATAAAGACTCCTTTACCTTATTTATTACTGAATGCTCAATGGTGATGGCAGGACAGGTGCTCCATATATACTGCTAAAGAAAGGGATGAATCCTGCCCTTCCCTGTAACTCCGGGAGGCATATGGGATCTGACGGGCCGCACTGAGCACTGAATTTCACCATTGTTCTGCTGTCATTGTTCATATTGGGTACTGAGAGGAAATGAAAATGTAAGCCTAAGAATACACATATGACATATTTATGAAGATATAATTACAAAAGATAAAAATGTGTTACTATAGTAATAATAGATGACACTTTTGCATGTCCTGATATGCTAAATAATATTCCAAATGCTAAGCCTTCTACATGTGTGTGCATATGTGGTACATACATATGAAAATATGCAGTCAGACATTCATATGTTGGTTTCAGAAAGTTAACATATAATACAGTAAAGCTCAGACTCACTTTATAAATTCAAATTTGTTTTGCCACTTACAACATCTTAAGATTCTTTTACTTTAGAGAAGTAAAATATTTCAAATATACTCACCAGTATAGATGATAATACAAAGAATACCCACATATTCCACAGTCCAACTTTACCAAATGCTAACATTTTGGCATAACTCAGGCTTTTAAAAGAAATGCTGCTGATTTAGCTAGGATGGGAGAGAAGGTCCCTGCTCATCCCGAATTCCATTGCTGTTTCTTCCCACCCCAGACACAGTCATTTTTATGACTTTGGCATTTATCATTCATTCAAAGCATTTTTAATTTCCCACATGTTTTTACACACAAACTATATATTTCTTTATTGCGTTCTTAAATTATACCTAGTGTGTCATTCTGCAACATATTTATACTTAGCCTGTTTTTATTTCTTTATTTTCCTCTAACTCATTCTAATTGCTCTGTAGTATTTTATTGTATGATAATATCTCATTTTATATTTATCCATTTTCCCATTATGAATATTTAAATTGCTCATCAGGTTTTACCTTTGCCAACAATGGTGACATAAGCATCCTGACTTTCCTTTTGTATGACTCAGAGCACAGGTAACCCTGGTTAGTATGAGTGGAACTGGAAGATCATAGAACAAACAAACGCGTCTTCACTTTTCATTTTGCAAGGGTGGTTGTGCCACTTTAACCTTTTGCCAGTAATGGTGTTGATGTCCTTTCTCTACATCCTTCCAACTTTGAAATGTGTGAAAGTATATCTCTGTTTCAATTTTTATTCCCGATAATTCAATTAATACTTTTTCACGTGACTAATGCCCTCTGCTTTTCCCTTTGTAAATTTCTGTGGATATTTATTTATTTTTTTGAAGTTAGGTTATTTTCTTGTGCATTGGGATTCTTTATATATCTGGTTGTTCATTCTTTGTTGTATAGGTTGTAAATACCTTTTCCTAGGCCACATCTTGTATTTATTATTTCTTATGAATTAAAACTATTATTTAAAATATTTCTTTACCTGAAGATATATTTTCTGAACATTTCAGTTTTGCCTTTTAATTTTTAAAAAGTGCACATGAGTTTATTTTCATGCATAGGTCAGTGTAGAGATGATTTTCCTATTTATACTCAGGCACCTGGCTTCAGTTGTTGCCTTGTCTCCTTCTGCCACACTGATTTACAGTATCTCCCAGGTTCCATATCATCTTTCTGCATTTCTGAGATCAGTGCCTGAACTCTGTATTCTGCTCCTTTTGTAAGTGCTTTTGCCTCCCTATCTTGATTATGACAGATTTAAAAGAAGTGTTGTCATGTGATGTAGAAAAGCTCATCATCTTCTTTCCTGGTTATTATTTATTCTAATATACACATTTTTGGATTGGCTTGTCAAACTTAACAAATATCCATTGGATTTACCTTGATGGACACAACAAATATTAAGTCTTCTCAACTCCAGAGTAAAACTTTCTAATTTGTTTTAGAAAAATATTTGTTATTTCCTTCATAAAGATCTTGTACCTTATACTTCTTTTGTTACAACTGTTTCCAAGTACTCTGGGAAAATATTTTGCAATTTGAATTGTTCTCCTTTTCTACATCTTTTAATTAAATATTACAGGTCTTTAAAAAGTATTTGTATTTGTTTTTAGTTCTGTCATGTTTATTTTTATATCAAGTCACCCTATCAAATCAAGTATTATTTTTAATTGTAGGGTTTCTTTTGTACACCCTTAGTACACAATCATAGTGTCTGAAAATAAAAATAACTAATTTTTTAAGTTCTTTCTTCTCTTATTTTTATCATTTTACACTTTTAGGATCTTCAGTAAAATGATGAAAGAAGTGACTTTTAAAAAATGTTTCTAAAATTTCATTTTATAGTGTTCTGTTTGCTGTAGGTTTTTTGAGAGATGTCATCTCTTAGGTCAAGAAAATTATTTTCTATTTCATTTGTATGAAACACTCCTTACTAATTATAAATGAGCACTGCATTTTATCCTATTATGCATTTACTGAAATAACTGCGTTTTTTTCTTTTAACCTGGTAATATATTAACAGTTTGCAGATATCAAATCATCATTGTATTTTTGAGATAAATCTAATATATCATGAAGTATACTTTTTATGATACTTCAATGGCCTATTCTTTTTGGGATTTTTGCATGCATTAAAAATAATATTGTATGATTGGTGTACAAGAAATATACATATTTAAACTGTGCAGTTTGATAAATGTTGGCATATGTGTGTTCTTGAAACTCTCCCACAATGAACAAAGGCATCTTTTACCCACAGAAGTTACCAGTATCCTTTTGTAAAACCCTCCTGCCCTCCTTCCCTAAATTTTCTTGTCCACTGCTGTACTTTCCAATGGTCTGCTTGCCACTGATCTGCTTTTTGTCAATACACATTAGTTATAATTCCCAGAATTGCATGTAAATGCAATCTTATGGTTTGTATATTTTTCTGGCTTGTTTTCACTCAGATAAATTACTTTGAGGCATAGTTGGTAGTGTGTGTGAATAGTTTGCTTCTTTATATTCCTAAACAATATTCCATTGCATAGAAACTGCAACTTACTTATCCATTTGCCTGTTGGTAGACTATTGGTTGTTTCCAGGTATGGATATTACAAATATAGGTATTATGAATATTTATGTTTTTGTATGGACACATGTTTTCATTTTTCTTGGGTAAGCACCTAAGAGTGAAATGGATGGGTCATATCAAATTGCATAGATTTACCTTTTTCAATTTTTCAGAAATCTTTACATAAAATATACTCTTCAGAGGTTTAAAAGTTGGGAAGACTTAACTGTAAAACCAACCAAAGCTATTGTCTTGGAAGGAGAGGAAGAGATTTTCGATCACTATTTGAATGTATTAATGATATTGATTTATTTCTTATGTAATTTTTTAGTTTATATTTTGAAGAGTATACATTTAGTAATGCTTTTCAATGTATTTGAAACAATCACAGAGATTTTTCTCTGATCTGTAAAATTTATACTATGTATAATTATAACTGATTTCCTAGTACTGTTTATTGTTGCTTTTTCTTTTTAAAATATTAATCATTCCTAGAAGATATTTACTGTCATTGGGTTTTTTAAAATGTTCCTTTTTGTTTTATGCATTTTTAAATTTTCTCTCTCGTTTTGATCCTATACTTCTAATTTATTGGTTTATTGTGCTTTTTCCCCATTAACTTTTTTAGTTTAGTTCAAATGACTTCCAATTAATTCAAAATTCTGTGATCTTAATAAATACAGTGAGAACACTTTTATACTACTTGAAAGTAGTAAATATGTTTTCTGAATATGTTGAAGACTTATTTTCAATCTCTAACTTGCAAGCGAGTAGAATTATTGACTATTAGAACTGGAAATAGCTTCAGGGCCCCAAGTTTTCATTTTACTCTTATATTGGTTTCCCAGAGCTGATATAATGAAGAACAACAAGCTGGGTGGTTTAAAGAAATAGAAATTAATTGCCTCATAGTTCTGAATGTTGGAAGTTCCAAGTCGAGGCCATGCTGTCTCCAGACCTTGTAAGGACCAACCCCTCCAATCTCCTTTCAGCTTCCCCACACAGTCATCAGTGCTTGACCTCCCTTGGCCTCTCTTCTCTCCTCTAGTGTGTTTCTCCTGTGTTTGTCTTTGTGTGGCCTTTTTCTTTTGTATCAGTACACTAGGCACCGTGAATTGGGCCCACTCTGATGAACGCATCTTAACTTGCTTTTGTGTATGAAGACCCTCTTTCTAAGTCAGGTCATTTTGGGCGGATCACGTCAGCCCACAGTAGCACGATGCAAATCTAAGCCCCGACAAATGAGGTAATTTGCCCAAGGTCCATTCATTTAATTATCCCAGAGGCATTAATCAAAAGGGTAGATATATTCAATTTCTAGTTCCTTATAGTGGAACTATGTGATAAATATGAACTTGCAGTTCCCGTAATTTTTACAGTTACCAATACTCATAGGAAAATAAAATCTTTAATTGTCCACTAGGGGGCGCCAGGTTCAACGGGGCTCCCAGGGCAACCAGGAGTACCAGGAGAAGATGGAGCCCCAGGGAAGAAGGTATTGTAGCACTGTCTTTTCTATTATTTGAGTGGAAACTATTGGATCAAACCGATATCTTGGCCTTGTAAGAGCTGAAATTAAATCCTGGACAGATTAAATCCAAGACCCTTAAGAAAAACAATTTGTACAATTTAAAATTTCCCCTTTCACTTATCCCAGATAGAAAGAACACCAATTCGAGGACTCTAGTGTCTCACATCCCCTCTGGTATTTTGGCCAAGGCATTTTCCAGTAATCTAGTTTCCTCAGGATTCCTAGAAAGTTCATTAGTTTAAATTTAAAGAAAAAAAAATCACCTTCTCCCACCCCCTTTTCATAAGGAGAGTCTGTGAATGCATTCAGGAAGTAAGACCATTGTAAAGATCCTGAATTATTTTGAGGCGACATTTGAAATACTCATTTTTCAGTAAAACTGCTAAAAAACGGCAGATGGAAAGGCTGAAGGTCATTCTTGTTTAAAAAAAAAAAACAAACTACCAAAAGTGAATGAAGAGCCAAAGGAAAAAGAGCTTATTGCTAGGGAAATTGGCTGAGAGATTAAACTTTCTCATGATATTTCAGTTGCTCTAGTTAAACTGGCGTTTCATGTTAATTTATTCATTGATAAGCTTCCAAATTAATTTTGAGACTAGAGCGAAGGTCTGGTCTGTTTTGGAGGTTTCAACTGAATCTGCTGGCAGGAAGAGTAGAAAAGGGAAGGACCAAGCATCCTGTCTGTAGAAGGCCAGTAAGACACCAGTGTCATTTCCTCCAGGGAGAAGCGGGGCTTCCAGGAACAAGAGGCCCAGAGGGACCACCTGGGAAAGGACATCCTGGCCCTAAGGTATGCCAGTGACGGGACGTGAGGGCAGCAGCTTGTCTGTTTGTTCCTGATACTGAGGCCCTACTTAGGGGAAACTTGATTGATATCTTTGCTCTGTCAAATGTGTATACATCTGGCTTAAAACTGTGGATACTGTCCCGTGAGGCTTTGGAAGACATCAGGTATGTATTAGTCATTTTTATTTTCCTAACATCTATCATAAGACCCGGGATAAAGAAGAGTTCAACACGTGTTTTCTCAATAAATGGGAAGACTGACATTTAAAGACCCAGAGGAAGAAAAAGAAGCCCCAAGACGCACAGCTGAAACCTGAAAGTCCATAAATTTTCTTTAGAGATTCATAGAATCTCACACAATAAGCAATACTACGTTATTAGATGGCAGTTTTGGAGACTGGATATATAGTTCTGAGGTAGAACATGCTTAGCATGTGCATGGCCCTGAGTTCAGTCCATAGTACTAAAAAAATGCAATTTCTGTTAACAATTGGCATAAATTTATTTTATGCCCAGTACAAATACTAGTTGGATAACATCTTTATATGTCAAAATAATAGGATGAATAATGACATAACCAAACCTTCTAAAGTTCCTGTAATTTTTATATACAGTTACCAATGCCCATAGAGAGGTTTGAATGAATTAAATATGAATAAAGCCAAAATAAAACTGTATACTTTCTGGTGTTCTATTTGTAATTCTACTAAAATAATAATTGATAGCTTAATATATATTTTTATTGAAACTGCTGAAATTGAGTTCTTAATCTTTCAAATTTGAGAAACAAATTTATATATATATATATATATATATATATATATAATTTTAAACATTTTAATTTATTGATTTACCCTATCATAGGATCCCTTTTGTTTTAGGACATGGGGAGAGAAGAAACACTTTTTAAAAAAACATCATGATTTTCTTTATGAAATATTGACCTATAACCATTCAGGAGAATTAATGTTTTCTAGAATATAGTGGACCCTTGACTTCTGAACTTGATGGGTTTCCAGGGGCTGGTTGTAACTCAAGTTGTATGTATGTAAGCACAGCTGAGATCTGGATGTTTACCTGGATACACGCTATAGATAGCAAGAGGCAGATGAATCTTCCACTAACCTAATTATCCTGTTCTTCGTATGTCAGGCTGATCATAACTTGAGGGTCCGTGTCGTCTACTTGTGGGAAATAGAACCTTGAAATTAATTATTTGAAGCTGTGAGAGTGAATTCTACCTCTGAGAAAGAGAGCTGAAGTCTGGGTCTCACAGTGTGAGGAGGCTGAAGAAAGAGAATCGGAACAGCGTGAGCATAATAATATGTAGTGTGTGAGGGAAGCCAGGGAGAAAGGGTTTCAAGGTGAAAGCAAGGGGTGATGGTAGATGCAACCAATAAGCAAAGAGAAATGGCACCATAAGAGAGGCCAGTAGATTTACCGCTATGTAGTGATTTGTAGCTTATGGGAGGCCATTGGAGAAGATGGTAGGAGCGCGTCACCTATTCTAGGCAGGCCGTGGTGCATTGTCAGTGCAGTGTCTCTTGTTTGCCTGTTGTCTTCTAGGGTGATTTTGGTCAGTAAAATGAATGGAGAAAAGTAAATCCTTGTGGCCATGCTTTGTCTCTGTGGATAATAATGATACAAGTGAAGCTGGATATTCAGCTGTTCCATGACCAGTGTCCCTGATCTTCCTTAGTGTGGACTCTGTGGATGTTAGTTACATCTCTGTGGATTCCACAGGAGTCTACCTCTTCTTCCTGAAGCATCTGTTTTGCTGATGAGCCGAGAAGAGTCCACAGGTTATCCAGGTGTGGTTCCTGAACTGGCCACACCAGCGTTGCCTGGGAATGTTACACCTGCGCATCACTGGGCTCAGGGAGGGCCTTCTAAGTCAGAAAGTCTGGGTGAGGAGCCCAGCCTTTGTGTTCCAAGTCCTCCAGGTTATTCTGAAGGTCAAGTTTGAAAACCACGGTTTAGCCATTTGTAACGTGAATGTATAATTGACCTCAGCTGCAGGCGCATACTTGGATATGACCTCACAGCAGAGCTCTGGTTGGAAGATAGTGTGGTAACAGTGGGAGGCTTCTGGTTGGAGATCACAGAATCCTTTTGTGGGATCCCTGCAGATTACAACCATGCCTGGGGACAGCCAGGAGGTGGTTTCTGGCCCTGCTGCCAGCTAATTCTCAAGTGTCTTCCTACCAGTAAGATTATTGGCACCGTTGGGAGAATGAACTAGACTTCCCACTGAGGAAGAAATGGGGCTCTGATTTGGAAAATGTCTTTTCTTATATTTTAAAAATTGAAATGGCATGAAAAATAAAAAACAAGATTAAAAGCATATATAGACCTCTTTTCTGAAACTGTGAATGTTAGACCCATCTGTTAATAGATGAAGGATATAAAAAAACTGGAAATTCAAGTACCATCTCAGAGAGACCCAGAACTTAAATTAAATCATACTGAATGAATGATGAACCCTAAACAATTTCACAGCCATGCAGCTTTTTGAAGAACATTGATAAACCTGCACAGCTAAGCTGTACTTAGGTATATAATTTTTAAATTGGTGTTTGTTGAGAGTCTGACTCTGCTGTGGTGATTATTAGGTGAGGAGAAGATTTGTTAATCCCATATTTATATTTTATAATTATTTTGTCAGGGTGATGAAGGAAAGAAAGGGAGCAAAGGGAATCAAGGACAGAGGGGATTTCCGGGGCCTGAAGGGCCAAAGGTATGTTTCTTATATTCTCATTTAAGAATCTTTGGGGAGATTGTAATTGTGTCTGGTTTTAATAAAATGTTAGATTTTCACTGCAAATTTGATTACTTGTTCACTTCCCTACAAACACAAAACTAAGCCCCCTCAAATAAAAACAATCTTGTAGGAACCCTTCCATTCCCAGTCCATAATAGAATGGAATGAAGAGATTATACAAAGGATGCAGTTTTCCTGGGGATGTTCATGCCTCTGAAATTGAGCCTGTAGTCGGTCAGCCTTCTCTGTTAATGGCCACATATCCGGATTTGGAGATAAAGCTGGAACCAGGGCACATACCATGTCTTCATCATCTCATTTTGCTGAGCAGTGGAAGTCGGAGAGTAAGAGGCAGCATGTGAGGATTCAGAGCAGGCTTGAGCAGGCCCTCTTCATATGGCTCTGTGAGAGCCTTGCAGGGCCTGCTCATCCAAATATAGAAAGAAGGTAAGAAAGTGATCAATTTCCCAATGTTGTAAAGATAAGGAATTAATGAGAACTCAGCAAGGTCCCTGGCATCTAGTAAGTGTTCCACACATGGAGTTGGAGGGGAAAATCAGCCCTGTGAAATGGTCAGTATGGTCCTGATAAATTGTCCCAACCAGGCACCCCGGAAAGAAATGGAAGAGATTGTGAGAGGCGAGCATGGTTATGTGTCATGCGGTGAGAACCCCAAGGTCAGGAGTCTGCCAAGAAACTGAAACTGCCAATCTGGGAGAGTTTATGCCTCCAGAAAGATGCTATCGTAAGAGAAAAGATGAAGAGTGTATGTGAGGATGATTAGTAAGCAAAATTTTAAAAAATGATCCTGGCCAGATAATAGCAGGTACAAACAGAGCACCACCCCACCGGTAGACCAGTGATTCTGAAATTTCAGTGTCCCTCAGTGTCATCTGGGAAGCTTGTTACAAATCTAGATTTCTTGGTCCCTGGGAAACTGCATGTCTCCCATAAGTGTCCCCTGCTGCACGTAATTAAAAAAGGACATTATGAGAAATGTCATCATATAGGAAATGTGTTGTATTAGTCTTAATACCAGTAATGGTTCTTTATGTACTAGTTATTCTTTTTTTCCCTGCACATAATCAGATTTTACTCTTAAGTTTTTTCTGTTTCTTTTTTGTAAGAATCTCTTGGTGTAGATCTTGTCCTAGCTATACTTTCTTTCTTTTTTTTTTTTTTTTTTTTTTTTTTTTTTTTTTTTAAGATCTCACTATGTAGTTGAGTCTGAACTGGAACTCACTATGTAACTCAGGTTGGTCTCAAACTCACAGCGATCCTCCTGCCTCAGCCTCCCAAGTGTTGGGATTACAGGCGTGCGCCACCACACCCGGCTTTTTCGGCCTACTTATTCTTACTGAGAGTGCATAATTTTATGTTTTGAAATAAAGCTGCTTTTTAAAGATGAAGCATTGCCATGTTTAAAGCATAATCACACCTAATTCAGAGGTCTTGTGTATGAGAAAACTTTCTATACTTCTCACATTTTAAAAGGAATTGGCCTCTTTAAAAAGTAGAACACATTAAGTGTGGAAGTATTATTTTGCTTTCTCCTTAGTTTTAGTGAAGAATTAAAAAAATTATTTATTGTTGTTATTTTTTATTGAGAGACAGGTCTTACTAAATTATTGGATTGGCTGGGCTGAACTCGTGAGCCTTCTGCCTTAGCCTCCAGACTGCCATGATTATAGATCTGTACCACCACGTACAATTCAATGAAGACATCTAATAGTCGAGACTTGGGTTTCTATGTCGCAGGATTGGCTAGAAGGGTGTGTCTGTTGCCATTGGATTGGGATGGGCACGTATGTGCTACGGTTGGAACTGGGACCCAGAGATTGGCATTCTTAGTTTGTGCCACACCGTCTGCCCAGGAGAGGCCTCAGCACGGAAGATAAACGTGGTGCATCACAGTAAATGTGACTGCTGTGCCCTTCCTGGAGGGAACTGCATGACCCAACCGACAGATTATGGCACTGAGTGACCAAGAACATGAGTCAGGCCGAGAGAGTTGCAACCTGAAATCTTATAGGCACAGATGTACTTCAATCCTATTTTTTGTGTTTTTTGGTAAAGCATCAAATAGTAAATATTTTGGCTTTGTGAGCCAAGAAACAAAATGATACTATTGTATAGAAGTTCATTTACAGCCATTCGAAAATGCAAAACCATTCATAGCCAAGGGTGTTCAAAATCCAGGATCAGCCTCATTTGTTCAGCCCATACCTACTGGAGAGGGCTAGTTTCCCTGCTGATGGAGCTGTGCCTGGAAATTTTGAGCACACTCCAATATAAATTTATTTTAAATTATAATTTTAATTCATGAAATGTCATATTAGTATATTATGAAATTTACATAAATTGTGGAAAATTTAAAAGACCGATGAATGTTATGTAGAGAAGCCCTAATATTTCCTTCTTATGTCCCAGCTTGTAGTATCTGATGATAGTTGCTTTGGAATGTTATTTTTCAAAGTGTGGTGTTGGGACTAGTGTCAAAGTCACCACAGGTGCTTTGTGAAAATGCACATTAATGGGCTCAGCCTGTAAGTGATTGAATCCAAATCCGTGGGACTTGGAACTTCTGACTGTGTATCTACCAAATGCTGTGATAATGGCTGTACTCGCTGAAATCTCAGTCACTGTCCAGATTCAAAGGGACAGCGGACTTGTCATTGCTCCAAGTGGGCCTCTAAGAACCAGTATTAGGTTCCAGAGTGGAAGGGAGGAAAAAAGAGCTGGGTGGAGTAGAGAAGGAGAGAGAGGGGAGGTTTTTAATTTTTCTATTCAAAATTTCTTTTTTTTTGTCCTATATATTTTATTGGCTTTCATTCTTAGATAACTTGAACAATTTCATAGATGAAGTGTTACAAGGCTGTAAGATGATTTAGTTGTTTGAATCTCAATCTAACTACTGGTACTTTATGTAATCTATTATTATTTTTTTTTTTGCCATACTAGAATGCTGTTCTGTTTTGTGACCTCTTTCTTTTTTTTTTCCTCATTGAGTTTATTGGTACATTTTATGTATACAGTACAGTTACATTCATCATTGGGATCTTGTACCTTTACCCCCTCCTCCCCTCCCCATTTACAAACACTTTATGTCCATTATTTCACTTGCTCCTATTTTCTTCCTCTTCCTTATTACCTTTCCCCCACCCTTCCCACTTTCCCTACACCTTTAGCCCTTTTCTTCCTATTTTACATTGTCAGTTATCTCTTTAGGATCTTATGTACTATTATAATTTATTCACACCAGACAAAATTTCTTTTTTAATTTGTAAACTCCACTTCTAAAAATAATGTGAGATAAAGTTTAATGGAAATAGATATGGCATGGTGCATGGGCCCCTGAAGCAGTAAAGGGGAAAGACTTATTGCACTCTAAAACTTGTGCTGAATAAGATTGTTATAATTGAGCAAAACATTTTTCTCTGAGCTTCCTGGCATATACTATAAAAAGAAGCATAGCATTCTTTGTCTTTGTTCTTGTTTTTTGTGCAAGGTAGTGAACCCAGAGCTTCTTGCACCCTAGGCAAGTACTCTGTCACGTCCCCAGCCCTGGAGCACATCAGTAAACGGGTGCACAGGAGGTAAACATTTCTCAACATTCAGGAATAAATTGAATATAGTTATTTAAAAGCACTGAAATCTTACAGGTTAATAACTTTGGAAGTGGTGTACAGAAGATGTTCAAATTATTTTCAAAGTAGTCTTTAAGAGAGAACAAGGTTCTAACATTATAAAATCTAGAGACATTTCTATTCTTTTTCTGACACAGTCCCTACATATGGTTTTTCTGCTTGAAATGTAAGGAGTATTTTGCTCTTTTCAAGGGAGAGCCGGGCATTATGGGCCCCTTTGGAATGCCTGGAGCAGCAATTCCTGGACCACCTGGGCCAAAGGTATGTTTTGGGGAATTTTTTCTTTTTTACTTTTGGAAAAGCCTTAGGAAATGGTCTCATTCAACCTGATATTTCACGGCTAAGCAGTATAAAAGCCAGCATCAGAGTTTGGACTAAAAACCAGGTTTCCCACTCCTGATCCTAATCCTTTTTTAAAATTGAGTTTATTGGTACATTCTAGGCATATGGTACAGTTACATTCATCAATGAGATCTTGTACCTTTACATGACAGGTCTTGGTTCTCATTTTTTCCCCTTGTCCCTGCCCTCCTTTCCTTCACATTGTGTTACCCCTCTCAAATCCTAAACCCTAAAGCAGGAAAGAATTTTATTATCTTTATTCAGAAGAGTGTACTAGGATATATAATTGAATAGTGCGGTAGAAAAAATGCACTCAGTTTTAGGAGCACCCACAGGAATTCTTACAGTCTAAGCATTTGACTCCGAATTGCTCCATATTATTTCACTAGATTTTCTCCAATTAGCTATAGTAGTCTGTACTGACAGGTTTTATTTACTCAGGATTTGGAAATCCTCTCAAATTTATTGAGAGAATATACTCTTTCAAGTCCTGAAAGGGATACATCAAGCTCTTTACCAGTCCCTCTTTTGCTATGTACTGCTATGATTCCTCATGAAACCTAGAGCATGTGAATGTTATTTCAAATGTACAGGGAGACAGAGGAGGACCTGGGATCCCTGGATTTAAAGGAGAGCCTGGGCTTTCTATTCGAGGACCAAAGGTATGCTTATTCATGCTTTTTTTTGTCCTGCATATATGAAGGTAGATTTTTATGCCTAATGTGTCAACTTTCTGTTACCATGACAAAATTCCTGAAACATCCAACTCATAAAAGGAAAAGCTTACTTTTTCTTGTGGAGTCAGATGTTTCAGAGCATGATTAGGTAGCCCTGCTTCTGTGGGTCTGTAGCCTCACAGGAGAGCAGGATGGGTATGTAGTGGGGCAGCCTTTTCACTTTATGCTAATGAGGAAGCCAAAAGAGAGACAGGAAAGGGCCAGGGTCCTGGTATCCCTTTCAAGACATGGTACCAATGACCTTCCAGTAGATTTCACCCCTAGAGGTTCCTCCACCTGTAAATGGTGTGACGAAACCTTCCATGTATGGTCCTTTGGGTGCATTCAAGGTTTACACTATTGCACTTAGTAAGTTGATTGCTCTACTTGTAGAGTCTTTATATTGATAAACTAAGTTGTAGAATAGAGCTATTCTCTTTCTTAAAAAAAAAAGAAAACAGTTTCTTTTTCATACATGTGGGGAGAAGCAGCTCAGATGGTTAAGTTTTTGCTTACTAGACAATTGTTTGAAAATACTCTTTTTGCAAAGTCTGTGATATAAGAGCTGGAATGGTATCTGATTCATTTCATTTGTCAATGAGGAAGCACAACTGTTCTGAAAAACTGTCCAAAAAATCTTGAGTTTGGAAACTTTAGTGGATAATCATTTCATCTGCTTTGATTATCCCTTCTTTGGACTTATTTCAAGTGAAAATAAAAATACTAAATCAGGACCCAACCAATTGTAAGTCATCATATCTGGTTTTGCATGGCCATAAAGCATGGTTTCCTTCCTCACACTCTACCAATCAGCATGGCAAAATGCAGCATTCACAATATTCTTGGCCATTGCCTAATACGTCTCTATTTATGACAATAGGTTTCAGGGGCTATCATGTTTTTTTGTTTTGTTTTGTTTTTGAGTCAGGATCTCACTATGTAGTTGAGACTGACTACGTAACCCAGGCTGGTCTCGAACTCACAGCGATCCTCCTACTCAGCCTCCCACCTGCTGGGATTACAGGTGTGCACCAACCACGCCCAGCTATCAAGTATTTATTAAATGAATAGTGTGTTTCTGTGTAGCTTTGAAACTGGCTTCTATGATTCCTTATCAGATGTTTTAGTGAGGTAGATAAAAGGAGTCAAGTGCTCAAACCAATGACTTCCAGACTTAAAAAGATGAGTTGACTTTAAATTTCAAATGAAATTTAACACAAAATCTGTCACAAAGCAGATATAAATTAGAGGGATTCTTGTTGAAGGTCCTCCAGTGTTCACACTGTTTTCACAGTCCCACTGCTCAAGTGAGAACTGCAGTAGTGTGCTTGTGATGGAAGGGTTCCTGGGATGCCAAGTTTTCAGAGCTAAACCTGGGAAAGTCTTGGACAAGTGGAATGAGTTGTTAACCTTGCTCCCCAGGTCCTGAGTTACACAGAACTCAACTATGTAGGTACTGGGGGAAGAAAAGGCCGCATTTCCTAGTGTGAAAACTAGACACGACCTTGATCGATCATATTTGTGTGACAGCTTTCATATTGTTTGAAAACTATAGTCACAATCCATGATTTATACTTTTCGGTTTGTATTTATACTTTTTGCAGTAGTGATAAAATAGAATTAAATGTGTTGCTAGAGTTCTAATCACCTGTTTTCCACTGATGATTATTGGACATTGTAGATGGTGGTATTTAATGATGTCTGCCTCTTCCACCAAACATTTTTCTAATCCCTTGGGGTCCAGTGATATTCTTTATGTCATTCTTAATTAAAATTCATTAATTTTAGGTTTCTGGGAGGTCATGTACTCCTTTAAATGTCTGATAGAGGTTTTGGTACATTAATTCCATGTGTGTGCTACTTCAGGAAGTACCAGACCTGCCCTAAAGTCCATTTCAAAACATCAGATTTTAGTTTTTGCCCTAGTTTTTGTTGAATAGGAGAGACCTTTCAAAGTCTTTCATTTTGTAGAACATTACCTTCAAGTCAGGGTAGAAAGACCAACTGGCAAAATTCCATTGCAGAAATACTGTGAGGAATCCAAGATAAAATGTTCCCTTCTTCTTGCTATTTCCTATTACTATTAGAAGTTACAACCTAACTGAAAAAATTTCGAGAGAGGACAAAAATCGCTAGGAAAGCCAGGTGTGGTGGTACATGCCTGTAATCCCAGTACCTTGGAGGCTGAGGCAGGAGGATCCCCACAAGTTAGAGGCCAGCCTGGACTACATAGTGAGTTTATGACCAACCTGAACTACATGATGAGAGACCCCCCAAAAAAAAATGTCTAGGAGAAAGGTTTCCAAACTATGAATGTTTTCATGTTTTTTTTTTCCCTTCCTCTGTGGGTGCCAGAGGTTAATAGCAGTTGCCAGAAATTATTAAATTATTGGCGTGGAAATTAGAAATAAAAACTGAAAGTGAGTTTGGATTCCAAATTTCTTTTCTTTTCCACATGACCAGGGAGCAGTTACTGCTTTATTTTGCTGTTGGTCCCCTTTTTGTGTAAGCATGGGGAGAAATGGGAGTTTTATTTGGGGATAAATATCATAAGTGAATGTTCAGAGCTTTCACCATAAAAACAGTTGGAACAGCACAAAAAATGCTTCTGCAAAGTGACTAGTTTCCTGTAGTTGGGGATGTACCAGAATTCATGTCCACTACAGGCCTTTTTCTTGCTCTTTACTGGGGAAGTTTAAGAAATCATCTTAGGTTTGTGTTGATGGTAAATGTACATTAAGTTTGGCTGCTTCTAAAAGCTTTTGATGCTTAAGGATAGCACTGTAAAGCAATGTTTGTCACATTTTCATAGGTCCTAAGATGTGAAGGACAAACTACCAGTATCCAATTGCTGCATAAGTTTTTTTCTTCTTTCATTAAATTTAGGTATACAGTACAGTTACATTCATCATAGGGATCTTGTACCTTTTCATGACGTATCTTGGTTCTCATTTTTTCCCCGTACCCCTGCCCTCCCTTCACCCCTCCACTCTCTCTATTTACAAAGACTTTGTTTCCATTTTTTCCTTTTCTTGTATTTTTTCTTTTCCCTCTTTCCTTTCCCCTACCTCTCCCACTTCCTCTACTCCTTTAGAGGCTGTACTCTTAAGTGAAATAAATAGAACACCGTGTGTAAATACTGAATAGTTTCTCTGGTGTGAAAAGCTTCATGAGTTTTTAAGAGTTAATGTGTTTAGGGTTTCACTTGGGTTTATTTATTCCCCGTGTGATTTGAGTTCCATAAATGGAGACAGTTGATTTAATGCAATAGTAGGTCACATAGTTATTCTACACTTACAATTTTCTTTTTTTTAAATTAGTACATGTCTGTGGTATAGGATTACATTCATCATATGAAGTTGATACATGCTCATAACATATCTTGATTCTTTTTTATCTTTCCCCTCCCTCTTCCTACACTCAACATTTTCTATATATTCTTTCTTTTATACTATGCTTATTAAATGTTTTCATTTTTTTCTTCCTGGTTTGCAATACACAAAATGATAATTTGAAAAATTAAACTATTAGCAATATATTATAATATAATAGTATATCTTTTTGAGAAGGGGGTTGAGACAGAGTCTTGCTATTTGGGCTGGCCTTGATCTCACTATGTAGCATATGCTTTCCTCAAGTGCACAGCAATCCTCCTGCCTCAAGCCCCCATGTGCTGGGATTACAGGTGTGTGCCAGCACCTCTGGAGATACTGTATCTTACAATTCTTATGAAATGCATTTCCTTTGAGACTTTGTAATGGTTCCTATATGTTACCTACACTCACGCCATATTTCCTGCTGAGCTGAAGGGCATGAGACTCGTGAAGACACATGGAGTTATCCTATGTGGTAGGATTTTATCCTAAAATTTTCATATCATTCCTTTGCATTTACCAAATCTATCTTTGGTTCATTGAATTGGCATTATGCTCAAGCTTTCCCTAATGGTTCATGTTTAGTCTCATGATATCACCTGGTTTTGGAATTTACTCAGGGTGCCCAAGGCCCTCAGGGACCAGTAGGTGCTCCAGGACTCAAGGGTGATGGCTATCCTGGTGTGACTGTAAGTGATGAGGATATTTTTCCTTTTAATTTGTGAAAATCATTCATTTTTAATTCATTCGTAACTATACATATTTGTGGTATATAGTGTGATGATTTGATATGTGTATATAATGTGGAAGGGTAAAATCAGTGTAATTAGCATTTCCATCTCCTTAAACATTTATCACTTTTTTGTTTTGGGGCCCTTTAAGCCCCTCTCTTCTGATTCTCTATAAAATATGTAATAAAATTTAAACTATAGCAATGTTGAAAACATTTCCTCCCTCCCCCTTTGTTTGTTTGTCTGAGCATTGTGTGTGACAAGGTGCCTGCTTGTGATGTCATCCCAGGGACCTCGAGGATTGCCAGGACCCCCGGGACCCATGGGTGTACGAGGAGTTGGAGACACTGGAGCAAAGGTAAGATTTCTGAAGTAGGAAGCATCCTAGCTTCTAAAAACATACTCATAGGTAATGATGTCCACAAAGGTGATTGTTTTTATCTGACAGAAGAACAGAGGTTCCTGAGATAATCAATAGTTACTTGCCTTCGTCTCTTCCTGGGGAACTTGAACTAATCTGAACACATAGCTTGACTTTGTGGTTTCTTCTGTGAGTGACTCTCACATTCCTTTGCTGCTTCTGCTTCTTGGGCCAACACCAGGGTTCAGTGTAGAGCCCTCCTCTGACTTCTTAGACACTATCATCCATTCCCATGGCTTCAGCCATTGTCTGCATGCTGATGGCTTCCTAATTTTAAACTTCCTTGTCCTAAGCTCTCATATCATGTGTCTGGATTTTGCCATCTATTTCCTTTAGATTTCTGACAGGCATCTCTAACCTAACATCCAGAATAGAACCCTGCATTTTCACTTCATAATCCTGTAAAAGTCATTGCCGTCACTCCGTGCTCAGGCCGAAAGACCTAAAAGCCATCCTTTTACCTTCCTTTTCCTCTTTCCCCTCTATGTTTAGTCCTTTGATAAATTCTGAGTTCTGTTTTCAAGTACCTCTTGACTCGGGCTCCTTTGTTTCTTCTGCTTCCTCCCAGCAGAACACCATCATCATTGCTTGGCTGGGCTATTCAAATGGCTTCTTCACTGGTCTTCCTTTTTCCAACTCTACCTTTATGTGACTTGGTACACAGAATGATCTTTGAAAATTACACATCAGATAATACCTCATTAAAAATAGCATAGTGGCTTCTCTTTATATTGTATTTATAATAAACTTGCCCTAGCCTTTGTGATCCTTCATGACCTGACACCGCTTTTACCCATTCCTCCTTGCTAAGCTGTCCAGTCATATTGGCCTGCCCTTTCATGGCTCTTTTGTGCTTCTGAGCTTTGGCTCTGCTAAGATGGCCAATTCCCAAGGCCTCAGCTCATAGCTTACCTCCCTATCCACCAATGAAAAACTCATCACTGTTATATCCCTATGTATTTCCTTATAGAATGAGTCACTTTCTTAAATCACCCTGCTCCTTTATTGCCTGGCACATTCCACAAGAATGTAGCTTTTCTGGAAGGCAAGCTCTTTGTGTTCCCTCCTGACTTCCTGGCACCAGATCTTGGAGTACAACCCATTACGAGCTCTATAATCTGTTGAATGACTAGAAAATGAATGAATGATCACAGTTATACTAAACAGAAATATTTTCTTTAGTAATATAACTATTCAGATTTTCCTCACAATTCCAGGTCATTAGTAAAAGAAAATATATCTGCTGAATGCCAATTCTTTTGTCCTGATTGTGCTTCTGCCATAGCATTTAGAGGTGACCACACCCTGGTAGTGCACCTCTACAATGGGCAGGTGTACTTTAGCTTCTTCCAAGTAGAATGAAGGATTGGAAATATCCGCTCTAGGGAGATTTTGTTGTTGTTGGATTTTTGACACAGGGTCTCACTATGTAGTCGAGACTGACCTGGAACTATGTAGCCCAGGCTGGTCTCGAACTCACAGTGATCCTCCTGCCTCAGCCTCATGAGTGCTAGGATTACAGGCATACACCACCATACCTGGCTAGGGAGATTTTTTAAAGTCTTTTATTTTTTATTTTTAAATAATATTTTGGTGTCAGGAATTGAACTCAGGACCTTGTGCTTGTCAGGCAAGCTAAATCCCCAGCCCTCTAAGGAAATCTTAATACCTGCTGTATTTCTGTTTCTTGGGGTACTTACCAGAGGTGAGTGTGAGAACACATCTGAAAGTACTGTGTAAACCATGCAAATGTGAGATACTTTGTTCAAAGTTCCACCTTGGTATGTGCCTTAGTTACTTTTCTTGTTGCTGAGACAAAATAGCCAACACCAAAAGTTAAAGAAGGAAAGATTTATTTAGCTCACAGTTTGCAGAGGTTTCAGTCCATAGTAGGCTGTCTCCCAGGCAGAATGGCACGTGGCAGAGGGGCATTGCAGGAGAGAGACAGTTCATGACACCCACAAGGTAGCAAAAGCAACAAGGGACCTTAGCAGCTTTTTTCTGTTCCTTTTGTACTCTATCTAAGCTACTGGGACTAGGGCAGTGCCAAACCAATGAATCAGTGGACTGATTTGGTGATCACACACCATTGATCCCAGCAGGGCACTGTGAATCAGTCGCACATGCTAGATCCAGCCACCTCTGAAAAAGATTACATGAGGCTTCGGGAAGCATCTAGACCCAAGCCATAGCGGTGTGGAATAACCCAGATTCTTGAATAGTGTTGTCAATGAACCATACTGAATGTAGGTATTAAGGTAATCTTTTTCCTTTAAGGCATACTTTATCAAAGTGCTAAAGTTTAAAATAATAGAGAAATTCAATAGGTAAACTGTTACTTTCTGCTCTGAGTGAAACATTTGTAAAGAAGGAAACAATTGTAACTGGACCAAATATTTCTTTAGAGAAGTAGAAACTTATTCCTATTTAAAATAAGACAAAACAGAATGTTAAGTAGACTATATTTTTATTCCAAGTTAAACAGATGATTACTTACATTTTCAGAGAGCAGATTATTATGAGATTTTTATGTAAGTCTTCATAATGTTACATTAAATTATACTGTTATGCTACACCTTTAAATTTAGCATTAATAAATACAGGCACTTAGGCACAGCTAAAGAGCATTTAAAAATTTCTTGTGAATATTACACTCTGTCCGATTATTTAAGTCATAGACTAAAACATTTGCTGAATGTTTTTGTACCACTTCCCTCCAAATATTCCTTGTATTTGTTTCCATGTGTCATTGGGGGGAAACCAAGAGAATGGTGTTCCTTGCAAAATTTCATGCTACTTTTACATTTAAAATTTTTATTTGTGTTTGAAATAGCCAATGTGTTGCCAGGTTTGTCATTAGTGAGACTCAGTCTCCTGTGCAGGGCAACAAGGTCAGCGTGAGTGGAGGCTGCAGCCTTTGGCCCACTTTGAGCTGCAGGTGGAGGTCTGGGGAGGAACACGAGCCCGGCCCAGCTCTCTGCTGGCCTCTCTCTGAGCCACCTCCGACTTTTCTCCATTAACCCCTGTTTCTTCCTATGGGAAGTGTGTGAACTAGGACATCTGTAGGTATGGAAAGAGATGTTAGGGGAATGAGCTGGTTGTAGAATCAAAGGAACTTCACATTATTCACTTGAAAATGAAGGAAGCATTAAAAGCAAATACCAGCTTTTAAATGACTTTTGAAAGAACCTCTCCTTTTAAAAAAAAGAGGCCTCCAATTCCTCAAAAAACTAGAATTAGAGGTGCCATTTGACCCGGCTATCCCTCTACTGGGTATCCTTCCAAAATAATTTAAAGAATCATACCACAGCAATATATGCGCACCCATGTTTATAGCACCACAGTTTGTAGTAGGTAAAACTTGGAAACAGCCCAATTGTCCATCAACTGGGGACTGGCTGAAGGAGATGTGGTTTTTCTATAAAATGGAGTACTACTCAGCCATAAAGAAGGAGAAAATAGAGTCATTTATGGATAAATGGATGCATATTGAGGCGATACTCTGAAGTGAAATAAATAGGACACACATGTGTAAATGCTGAATAGTTTCTCTGCAGTGTAAAACTGAAAGTGTAAAAATGTGGATCAAAATGTATGAATGACAATGTGAAATAGCAAGAAAAGTTCCACGGAAAAGGGGAAGTGTGATGGGTTGGGGAAAGGAAAGAAGGGAATGGAATTAATGAGAAATGAAAAAATGGAAACAATGTCTTTGTAAATAGAGAAGGGTGGAGGGCGTGAAGGGAGGGCAGGGGAATGGGAAAAAATAAGAACCAACATACATCATGTACAAGATCCCAATGATGAATGTAACGGTACTGTATACCTAAAAAGTACCAAATAACTTAATGAAAAAAATAAAAGAGGCCTCCAAGTCTCAATGTGACCTTTTCTTCTGAAGAAAACTTTTGGAAACACATAGACAGACTCTGGTAAAAAAGGAAGACAGTTTGAATTTTTTTTTCCAGCTTTGAGTTTATTGGTACATTTTAGGGATACAGTACAGTTACATTCATTATTGGGATCTTGTACCTTTACATGACAGGTCTTGGTCTCATTTTCCCCCTTGTCCCTGCCCTCCCTTCACCACCCCCTCCCCATCTACAAACACTTTGTTTCCATCTTTTCATTATCTCACATTTTTTTCTTTTCCCTTATTACCCTTCCCTTACCCATCCCACCTTCCCTACACCTTTAGCTCCTTTCTTCCCATTTCTCAATAATACAGAAGATCCTAATAAGATTACTGACATTGACAGTTTGAATTTTAATTCCAGTTTACTTTGTCCTGATAAAATGAAGATGAGAATTCAAAGTAGCAAAACTTATCATTGACCGAAAAGCCTAGGACCCAGATGTATGCTGAATTTCTCTCCTTTTACTTTGAGTTCAAACAACACAGAAACTATAAGTATGTGGGAGTATTTGTGTGTGTGGTTGTATAGACATATGTTTCCTGGTATGTTTTTCATTTAAACTCTGTGTAGTCACCTTAAAATCTTGGCCTTAAGGCATTAACTTATAAAACAAATGTGTTTTGAAATGAGGAAACCATTAAAGTTGATGATTAATTTATAGTGGGTTTTTGAGATATTTAGTTAAGGTCACATATGTTTAGCACATGACAGACATTAGAATCAAAGCTTCTATGTTTCAAAACATGTTAAAACTTCCCCTAACATCTAGCATACTTGTGGTACTCTGTGGCTTTTTCTCAAGTGGAAAAATTTTATAAAACATCAGTGGTTGTAGTTCTTTTAATACAGTTACCTTGAATTTAATTCAAATGTTGACAGGACATTCTGAGATATTTCAAAATTTCTTGTAGACACTTTCAAGGACATAGTAGATGTAGTTTTAAAATCTATTTATGAAACAGTGGTAAGAGGATCTGACAAATGTGGTTCCTTGCTAAGTGGAAAGTGCTCATCCTCTGT